GTACCAAGATTCTTCCATCTTTGGTTCTGGATGGGGTGGTTCTGCCCCAGACAGACCTGGTACACAATCTGGGAGTCCTCTTGGACTCATGGCTCCTGCTGGAAGAGCAGGTGGCAGCCGTGGCTAAGAGGGCCTTTGCACACCTTTGGGTTGTGCATCAGTTGTGCCCATTCCTGGACCGGGAAGCTCTACTCACTGTCACTCATGCCCTTGTGACCTCCTGTCTGGACTATTGCAATGCGCTGTACATGGGGCTGCCCTTGAAGAGCATTCGGAAGCTTCAGCTGGTACAGAATGCAGCTGCCTGGGTTGTAAATAGTGTCGGCTACTCAACACATGTAACACCACTGCTTTGGGAGCTGCACTGGTTGCCGGTGTGTTTCTGGGTGCAATTCAAGGAGCTGGTTGTCACCTATAAAGCCCTTCATGGCTTGGGACTGGATTACCTTAGGGACCATCTTTTCCCAGTTGTTTCCACCCATCCAATTCAATCTGGCAGGTTGGACATGCTCCGGGTCCTGTCAGCCAAGGAATGTTGGCTGGCAAGGACCAGGAGACGTGCCTTTTCTGCTGTGGTGCCTGCCTTCTGGAACATCCTCCCTCCTGAGATTAGGATGGCCCCGACCCTTTTGGCTTTTCGGAAGGCTTTGAAGACCTGGCTTTGTGCCTGGGCCTGGGGCCCTGAGTGTGTGAAGGGCCCCATTTCATGGTTGCATTGACATCAACAGTTGTTTAAGATGTCTTGGCTGCATCTATATTATATTTATTTTTTGTACTGTTTTTAACGTTGATTGTTTTTATTGTTGTTAGCTGACCAGAGTCACTGGTCTGAGATGGGCAGCTATATAAATTGAATAAATAAATAAATACCAAACAATAAAACCTATGTATAAGTCAAATCTACCACCATTATCACCCATATATTTAAGAAAAAACAGGAGGGCCTTCTTAAAGGCTAGTAAGTTGGGTGCACCATGTACCTCAGGAGGCAAGATATTCCAAAAAATGGGGCAGCCACTGGGAAGGATCATTGTTAGGACCTTTACCTCAGATAGGGTAAGGATCTCCAACACTGGCCAGGAGAGACAGTCTTACAGGTGCCTGGGAGGGTAACTTCAGTTTACCAATTTATTATGAATTGGGGCCTCCCATAGCTGCTGGTCATTGAGTCCAATGAAGTTTGCAGTTGGGCCACCAGTTTTAGGTGAGCATTTCTGTTTAGAATTCTTCTCCCTTTCAACTCACCCACTCTTTTCTGTTCTTAATGCAACTACCTCTACCCAAGAGCCTGCTAACATCCCCCTTTGCTTCTAATTCTGCTTCTACTTCTTTTAGTTTCTCAGATATAACTCTGCATCCACTAAGTAGGCTCCCAAGTGCAGCAGATGCTTTTTTATGCTCTTGAACATTTCTTTATACTTTTGTACTTTTCTTTATGTTCCTGAAAAACTCAAACAATGCTACCATGCGCAGATCTACTTTAAAGCATTTTTCTTTCCATGGATTACCACCCAGTTTAAATACCCAATATTACAACTCAGCAAGTGTCTTTGGGGTGTGTATAACAGCCTCCGCAGCTATGTTTTTAGGGGTGGGGGTTGGAAGGAGCATGATCTCACTAGGGACTACTCCAAAAATGGAGTCTTCTGCTCATTTTAGAAAACTGCCTCTAGGCAGCTGGGACTTACCACATCCTAGGTCACTTGGATCGATTTTGGCAGGACCAGAACCCAAGTCCTATAGCAATCTAGATGGGTTTTACTCCACAGCTCTGACCTCTCAAATGGGAATTAGCTATGGAGGGAAAGGGGAGGGGACAAAAGTAGAAAAACAGTTAGGCTAAAAGGGCTCCACACAGAAGTAATTTCATGAGTGGCAGGGAGCCTTACAGCAACTTCCTTAATCAGCCCAAGACAGTGTGTCAAGTGAGATCTCACTTCCCCTTGGAGTTTGGAGAAAAATCTCTTGGCAAGAGTGAGGTATATTTTCCATTGGTCTTCCAAGAAATCCTTCTGCCAAAGGCCTGGGTTTAGGATGCCCTAATTTTGCCCATTAAGCAAGAACATCTCTGGGTGTGCTGTGTTACAGTTCAACCTCATAGGGAAACCAAGAGTCATAGACTTACTGCAAGGGTAATAATGGGGTTAGGGGGTTAACATATAAAACCTGCAATTCTAGTCATTTTGTCTCTTCCAGAACTACATGCCACCTTGTGCCTGCAAACTTTGCCAATGTCACATGAGAATATACAAGGCATGTATGAATGCAAACATGCCCAGGCTCATCGGTGCCCACTTTCATCTTCCATGAATACAAACTAATAATACTAACCCGTTCAGTCAGGACCTTAGCGCTTTAGGTTATTAAACAGGCTAAAGTGTTTTGGAAGCCGCAAAATGAAACTAAAATAACCAATCAGTATAATGAAATAATTAACTAAGATTATTGGTACACAGGGCAACCAAACTGTAGCACTTGATAATTTATGGAGAATGTAGCACCACATAGAACTCGATGCTTATAGCATACAAGACAATCACATAAATAGATCATAGCAATAATAATGGTATACACAGGAGGGTCAAAAGAGGCAAACTGGCAGTTGCAGCATCGCAATTTAAAGACCCAATTGTGTGCGTGTGCGTGTGATGTCAATGCAATACAAAAGAGTGAGGCTTGAACTGTGATACCTTGACTGCCATCTTCCTATTTTTGAATACCACAACCCACCCTCCTTGGACACAGCTGGTTAAATGATCTATAAGAATTAAGCACATTGGGGTCTCTCTCTCTCTCTCTTCCATTCTCCTGCTACAGATGGAGAAGAAAATAGAAAAGATGCTATTCTCCTTCTCTAAAATGAGATTTCTGCCTTAAAGCAAGGATATTGCTAGGCCAAATAGTCCTACATAGAAAAAATGGGGAATAAAAGAGGTGATCAAGAATAACAATAGTTAGAAAGAAAGAGTTAGAAAGAAAGTCAAAAGAAAGAGAAAAGGTTTGGCCAGATCATTGAGCTGGGTTATTGTCATTCCTCTGATCTAAACAAAAGAGATGCCAGAAGATTGATGGCCCTGAAAATGTTTTCCACATTCCTTTTTGTTAACAAAAGAGGTTTTAAAGAAGGTTTTAAAGAGGAAGTCCTTGCTCTGAGTAGCAAAAGGAACAGACCCCAAAGCATATTACCTAATGCAGATATTCTTTGATTATATCTGCCATTGTTTTACCAAGACGCAGAAATCTGGGAAGAGTTGAGGGAGACCTCTGCATGACCTTAGTTTGGAAGAGTCATCCTTGGGTCCTTGGAGTTGGGCAGCCAATAAATTTAAATATGATGATGATGATGATGATGATGATGATGATGCAACAGACAGCAAATGCCGCCTCTGCAAAGAAGTGGAAGATACAGTGGACCACCTATTGAGCTGCTGCAAGATTGCACAGACTGACTACAAACAATGGGATAACACATCCTGCAAGAAATACCATCTGCCTGCAAGCAAGAACTGGCGGGACCACAAAACAGACAAATATAGACCTGCAGATAGCAGTAGAACGATTGTGGCAAAAGAAAGCAAAGATAGTACCAATAATAATAGGTGCCTTGGGTGCAATCCCAAAACATCTGGAGCACCACTTGAACACCATTGGCATTGAGAAAATCACCACCAGTCAATTGCATATAGACCTGCAGATAGCAGTAGAACGATTGTGGCAAAAGAAAGCAAAGATAGTACCAATAATAATAGGTGCCTTGGGTGCAATCCCAAAACATCTGGAGCACCACTTGAACACCATTGGCATTGAGAAAATCACCACCAGTCAATTGCAAAAGGCAGCTTTACTTGGAACAGCTTACATCCTGCAGCAATACCTTTAGACCACCAAACAACATCTGCCTATCTCAGATCTTTGGGAAGGACTCAATA